TAATTAAGTTTAAACTAAGATTGTTTGGTGATTAATTAATCAAAGAGCAGTTAAAATGTGGAAACATCCAATGAATTATATCTTGATGATGTTTAGATGATTTATCTCTTAATTTTAAATGATATATGTTAAAATATTTGTGTTAATAATCGGTTAATGAAGTATATTTATGTCAACGTGGCTCAGATTAAGCCACTAATTGTGACATTATAGTGTTAAAATTATCATAGCTTTCGGTTTAAGAAATAGATTATAGTAAATTGACAATCTCTTTTACTTTAGTATTTTTTTTTTTAATTATTTTTGTAAGTTAATTTAAGAAAATATATTATACAAACAATAACAAATTATGTTATTAATGGTAGGACCTTATGATCTATGACAGAAACAAAGCAACAAAACCAATCTTGTTATTTCATTGTTTTGATCAAAATATTGACATCAAAGATCAAAGCAAATTTAGGGCTAAAAGACAGATGGAAATCATTTGATTAAATAAACATCTAATGGCTCCAAAGTTAGTTGGAAATTGAGGTGGGTGTTGTCACATATCCTCTAAGAAATAAAGAAAATAATTTATTCTATATAAAATAAATTAAAGCATTTCTGATAATTAGTAATTAAATAATAGGAAGAAGATAATTAAAGAGCATGCTGGAAGCTTGATATTATTATTTAAAAAATAAAATTGTTAGGTGATATACAACACAGAACCCATATAGTTTAATTAGTGTATGTTTTAATTAAATAAAGATGTGGCCAATTTTGGATGCATAATTTGTCAAAAATATATGTGCTGGTTTTTCTCTTGAGAAAAAAACAACTTGTGAGCTAACAAGTTAGGTGGGGGTTTTTGATTTAATTAATTAAATGTATAATATATGATCACTTGACTTGCTAATTGTAGGTGCCAAAACCCAATATGCTGCATGCCTTTTATTTTTAATTCAGCCATGACCCATGACACATGAGCTGAGGTGGAGTCCATTACAAACAGCAATTGAAATCTGGTTTCCACTCTACAATTGCTAATGCTGTCATCTCCATCTAAACTCATGCTCCTATTCAATTACACTTATTACCATGTACGCATCTGTGTAGTGGTAGCTAGGAGCCCAATGTTGGCTCCCGACATCGGTTTTTGTATTGGTGCATGCAAGAATTTTGACAATGGTAAAACTTACATCCAATTAACATGTTACGTTCAGTTGAGTTAATATTATTACTATATTGTTTTACTTTTCTTATTTATAATGAATGCAATTTATCATATTGTTTGCTTTCAAGACTAAAACAATACGACAAATTAATTCTAAAGTGGTCGACATTTTCAACTTGAGAGTGTCCAAGGTTAATAAACAACCCACCATCCTATGCTTAATACACGTGTGATCCGGACAAACATAATAGAAAGATTGTCATGTAAAAGAGTTGTTCGCTAATGTTTATTATTAGGGAAAAGACATTTGTTATCAACCTAAAACACTAATTAAGCATCTTATTAGATGATGGTCTTTGCTCGTTCTTCTAATAATAAGATCTAGTCATACAACCTGAGATTACGATAACGACAAGTGCAAAATACTAGCAAAGAAAATTATTATACCTATGATATACCCCTTTCCTTGTATGAACATTTGAAATATGGATTTGGTATTCTGCCACGGGGTTGTGCATGCAACAGCCTTGTTAATTTTGTCCCTTTTTACTACTTTTTTCTTCTCTTCACCGCATCATCTTCTTCTAAATATTTTATTCTCTCCCTGCAGATTTATTACATTTATTTTTGTACGAATAAGTTATTAAAACTATGGTTATTGAATGATTACTTCCTCAAGGTTTTGTGGCTACCCCATGTGTTTTCCGGAAGTTTCTGCCAAGGGGAATTATATGCTCCACAAAATATACAGGCTAGTTATTGGTTATGAAGATACATGAGTGTCCAATGAGGTTCATCATTTGATTGCAGTGGAGCCATTTTATTGATTTCCTAGATATGATGTGGTCTGGTATCAGAATTGGGAAGAAACAAAACGAAATTACCTTGAAATTTCCAAGATTTTCTTTTTAGTTTGATGCTTTTGAATGTTTGTTCATAATTGCCTCCACCCAACTCCGGGCCAAAAGTCTTCTTTGTAGTTATTTGCACTTTTCTTTTTCGCTATTTAAAGTTTTAAACCCATTTTACACCTCAAAATCTCTTTCTAATCTTCTTTTACTTTTTACATAAAATTAGATAATAAAGCTAGTAAATGTGGTTAATTTCTGAATATTTGGAGACATCCATATCCATAGCATATTCTGTTAAGCTCTATTTATTTATTTATTTTTGTAGATAACAAGAGAAACCCATGACTCCTTTTTAGTTGTAACATCAAACTCATAAAAATGAAATACAAATTTGGACGTTATTACATGTCTTGTAGAAGTTAAGACCAAAATATTGGAGTTTAAAATTAATTCTAAAGTTAATAAATTAATTTATGCAATTGAATCACCCGTTGAGATATTTTAAAATAAAGGAATGAAATAAAAAGTATATACCTATCTCATCACCCATCATAATAAAAAATGTTTAAATCAATAATAAATATGACGTAATTTTGAGGGGGTCACTATTAAAAGAAATTTAAAAAGAAAGAAAAAGGCATGAAAAGTTAAGAGTGCGTCATTGTCTTATCTTAAAAATGATTGGCTGCTTTCTTCTTCCTTTCAATGGAGAAGAAATCGAAGCAAATACGTAACCTTATCGTCCTTACATCACTATAAAAACAATTAAAAAGGAATCTAATTATTATTAATAGACATTGTTAATTTCACGTTGTTTCAGTCATTCATGTGTTGCAATCAAATAATGAATAAACTAATAATTATTTTGGCTGCTTTGCAAAGTAAAGCTTTTACTTTTTCAACTTGAAGAAATCTCGTCTCTTTCATGGCACTTTATATTTTGGCGCTTTTGTATCGAAGTATGTTAATGTATAACATTTGCATCTGCATCTACTCCGTGACTTGCGTAAATTTCTATCAAACACTTGTTCTCACTACTTGCCTTCTTCAAAGAACTTGAGAATTCAGATTTCAATAACTTTTACATATGTTGGAATTGTTGATACTTCATTTACTTTGGTAGAGAGAATAAATCCATGAATATTATTTTATTTAATCATATCTTCAGGGTTTAAGCAAAATTAATTACTTCTCAACCCTAAAAGTAAGTTAACCAAAGAGTACATCTTTTTTTTTTTAATCACCAGAGGTGTCTGAACTAGTTTGGATGTATCTCAATTAATCCTTTAAGGCTTTGAAACTATCAATCGGGTAAAAACCTTAATGACCACTTCTATTAGTGTCTGAGGAGAACTCGAACTCAAGAGCTCATGAAACCTTCTTTTACTCTTTTTTACTCTTTTATCATCAGGTCATCCAACATGAATTCAAATGGTACATCTTTTTGACAGAAAATATAAAATTAATATGTTAATGATTTTTCTAATTATTCAAATCTCTAAATATGGTTAAATATAATGTTAACTTTGTATATGATTTTATTCTATTGTAATGTCTATATTTGTAGGTTTCTTGATTTATCATTCGAACTGCAATTCAATAATATATCAAATCTATCAAATTATATATAAAATCTAATTCCTTTATATAATATTTTTGAATTCTGCCCCACTTTTATATAATTATAATAGTTTATTTACCCATTTCGTTGACAAAAATGAAGATGTTTATCCTTTTAAGGTTATATATTATATTTGTTAAAGAACTTGAATTCTTTATGTACAATTCTCTTTACAACTTAAAGAACAAGTCAATCTTCAACTCTCTTGAATAAATCATGCCTAAACCATTACTTAATTTTCAGTCCATGAGACAGCGATCAAAATATAATTGGAGTCAAATGTATAACTAAAATACAAAACAAAAATCAAGTAAAAGCCAAAGAATAAGTAAAAAAAATTTATATATCAGTCTTTCAAAAAGACACTTTTGTCTTTAAGTTGTAGCTGTATTAAGTTCTTTCACTTTCACATGCAATTAAATATTTATTAATTAAACTTTAGTATAAAGCTTATAATAAGGTTAAAAAAAATATTCGGTTAAATTAGCCTCTTTATTGCCATGAAAAGGCATGGCCTTTTAGCAAAGATAAACGTGCATGATGAAGATGAATGAGATTTTGGATTTTGATTGATTGCATTACCCCAGCTGCTCGTGGTTTACAAAGGTCATTTTGAAGATGATAATCTTATAAAAAAAAAAAAAAAGTAATTAAAGCAGCTTTTATATATAATACAAAGTGTGGTGGGTCGCTAAACCCAACTTAATTCACCAAAGAAATTGACCACTTCTTTGCATGCATGGATATGTCTTATGGAAGCTACTCGAAGTCTCGAAGTCGAATGTTCGACCCTCCATTTTATATCTATGTACTTGTGGTCTAATGCTATGGATGGGTTTAATCTATTTATATAAAATAATATGGGATTAACGTTTAATTCTTCGTCAAAAAAGAAGAAAATGATATTTATACTTGTTTTCAAAACCAAACATGTTTTAGATGTACATTTTTTAAAACTTATTATATGAATGGAAATCATTTATAATGACTTTCAAACTTTCCTATGATAGTTCAAGCTACATGTTTGCTTACCCCTTAAATGTTTTTACACCTAACTCCCTGTACTATAACTGGAGTTACCAGTGGTATTAGAAGTAGTACTAGTACTAGTACTACTGAATCAGTTAGTACTATCTATTGATTTAAGAACAAGGCTTCGTCAACAACTAAAACTACCACCACGTTCACGTTTTGACCCACATATCCAATGCCCACCATAGCCACTAATCACGCCACTAACTAAATCATCACCCAACCAGGTGGCCTCGTGCGCGCCATTGAAAATTAACAATTCAATGTAATATTTTAAAAAAATATTAAAAGTAGAACACAAAATTTTTAATATTTCATATTAAAAGAACAAACAAAATACAACGTCCAACAACCAATCAACCAACTGAACCGCATATACATTTTTGAACCGCATATACAGACGGCACCGGTCTAATAATACTCAACTACATTCTAAACCCCAATAATTCCAAAATTCTAGTTAAATTTTGGTATTTACTTAATTACTTTCTTCTCCCAGTTCATTTCGTTATATACATTTTCAGCCTTAACTAGTAATGTTGTCACATCATCCACCGTTTGATTCTCGACTGTCGTGTCTTTTCATTCACATGACGGAGCAGGCGTTCGGATTCTCATCACTGAACATCTGCGGCGCGTGCATGTGAGGGTTATGGTGTTCCATCCCGTAGCCCTGGTTCACGTACATCACTTGCTGATGCTGCTGCTCCATGGGGTAACTCTGGTGACCGTACACTGATGCGTCGTACCAGTAAGTAGGCGGTGGCGGGTAAGGGTAACCGAAGTACTCCATCTTGCTCACCTCCATCTTAGGGGCGTCACCGCCACCAGCAGGAGCTTCTTTTTCCTTCTTTTCTCCGCCTTTTTCGGCGGCTGGTGCCGCTGCTGGGGCGGCTCCTTTATCTTTCTTCTCTCCGCCTCCGGCCGCTTTGGCATCTTTCTTCTCACCTCCGTCCGCTTTGGCATCTTTCTTCTCACCTCCGTCGTCCTTTTTGGCGGGAACAACCTCAACGTTCCTTTTCAATTTGTCTTTCAGATAAGGCTCAAGCGCCTTAACATCCATAGTTCCCTTCACCGTGACCAGATCTTTCCCATTGTCCACCGTCACATTCTCAACCCCTGGTAGTTACGCCACGTCAGATCCTCGTCAGTTAATTAATTTACTAATTTGCCACCGACGCACTTAATATTTAATCAATATTAAATAATAATTAATCCCACCATTTAAGTGTTATACTCACCGTTGATCTTTTTAATAATCCTCTTGATTTTACTGATGCAACCATCACAGTGCAACCTGATCTTTAAAACGACGGTGCTCTGCATGACCCAAAAATATTAATTAAAATTAGTTGTACTAATACTATATTCGAAAGTGAAATTTAACCATCCAAGGCCGCTTCGTAATTAACGGGTAATCAACGAAGAAGTCAAAAATCAAAATCTCGGAAACAAATCAATCAATTCAAAATCTGAATTATTGAAAATAGTTTCTCAACTTGACAAATGGCATGTTAAATCAAGAAATAATTACCTCTTTTGGTGCTTTCTTTTCCTCAGCTTTCTTCTCATCCGGTTTCTTCTCCTCCGCCTTCTTCTCGTCCGGTTTTTTATCTCCGCCACCGGCAGCCGCGTCTTTCTTTGGCTGAGGAGAAATGAGCTCGACTTTCTTCTTCGTTTTCTCCTCCAATCTCTCCTTCATTTTCGCCGGGTCCACTTTGCCGACCACCGTGACTTTATTAGCATCACAGTCTGTCTTCACCGACTGAACGCCTAAACCAATTAACAAAACAATCTCATTAACTTCAACAATCAAATACAACAACATTATCGTAACAAATAATTAAATAATTAATAATTAATTACCTTCGTAATGTTTCATAGCACGTTTGACTTTCTTAGCGCAGCCTTCACAATGCAATTCCATCTTCAAGACGACGGTGATAACTCCGTCATCTTTCTTCGCACTGGCGTCGGCTGCAGGCTTCTTCTCACCGTCATTTTTAGCAGCCTCCTTTTGCTGCACAACAACAAAAACACGTAAGATAAATCACCGACTAATCCAAAGAGAATAAGAAACTCCAAGCCTTGAAAGAGTAAGCATCACTAAGATACTAACCTCGCCCATTGGAATATAGAAAAATTCTTTATATTTTCTTTTTGTGGTGGTGTTTGGTTTGGTTTTAGGTTGTGGGGATTGTCTTTGAAGATAGAAATTGAGAGAGAGGCGGATATTTATAAGGCAGGTCGTTGCGTTTTCAATGGCCAATGAAAAATTGTTTATTACGTTTGGTATGTCTTATGTGTATGTATGTATGCATGTTGGATGATGATACATGTTAATTATGAATGCGATGTATTCAGTATGTGACTGCTACGCTTATAATAAGTGTTGCCGCCGTGTTGGACTAATGGATGTTTAGAAACGACGGCATCATGACAGCCTATCCAAATTTGACTTGACCGTGACCATTCATACACAATCACTATACTACCCCTCTAGAAAATTCTACTCCTCAATGACCCTCAAGGGTAGTACTGTAGTTTTGCATGACGGTTTCCTACATTCCGTTGCAGACTTGTAAAATTCAAAAAGGTTGAGGAGATTTAGTGGCGCCCACAGTAATTCAAAGCTGCCGATTTGGTATAGAAAAGTGTGAATTTCAATTGAAGGAAGAATTTTTTTTTATTATTATTTATGGATACATTTTGTGGTTGGTTTTATGTTTTTGTTTTTTTATAATATTGTAGAATAAGAATTAAACTAAGTCACTATACTAATGATTTAGGAATCTACGCATGCTTTTTAATTTGTCACAGCCAACAATGCCTAATGTTGAGAGAGTGAGAAAGAGTGATTAATATTTTAGGACGCATTAAAATGTTTCTATTAATTAATTAATTTGCTATTTTTTATTATTATTTTTAGGAATCTTAAATATTCAAACACACATTAAAATCTACTTATTAAACCAAGTAAATTACACAAATGTAATAAGTACCTCTCTTGTGACTCAAACACAAAATTATCTGGTATAACTAATTTCAATTATTAAAGAGTTTGTCATCCAACCACAAAGAGAAAAGTAATTAATAAATTAATTTGCTGATTTCATAACTTTATATACGTACTATACCAAGTTATAATTACCAAAATTTGAATTCACCATCCATTGATTACAAGAAATCTTAGAATTAATTAAGATGTACTAATATCTTATCTTTATTTGATTTTACTTTTAAGAAATAAAAAATATGAAATTAAATTCAAGATGTATTTCCAGTGGATCAAGGCAAAAGGCCATTGATTTGAATCATAAAATTAATTAGAGTTTAATTTGATGATCCGTATATGTAGGTTAATTTGGAGGGGATTGCAAATTAGTTGTGAGATAGATAGAGATTAAGTTGAGAGGTGTTAATGATTTGGTAGAAGCATTATTTACCTGATGAAGTTAGGCAGCGCAATAACTTGAGAAACGTAAAAACTAATGAGAGAATTTTGAAAGCAAATATATTTTGTTATGTTTAATTATGACACTTAAAAGCGGTAAAGTTGCGTAATAAAGTAAAAATCTTCTGCACCATCGGAGTGAGTTATGGTGACATGTCACATTATGTATAGGGAAAAGGGGATAGGAATAGCTCTATACACATGTCAACTCACCCAATCTGATTTAACCAATACCTGCCTGGGTTAGCCTCATTAACCATATTCATGAAAGCCGGCCGTCCTATCAACCTTATCCTACTTTACATTCATTATTAATGTTTTTTTTTTTTTTGTCAGGATATCCGTAACTTCACTTAATTTTTTACGACCTGATAACTATTAATCGGGTATGATTAAGTTAAAATTTTACAGTTTTTTCTTTTTGGTATTTTGTAAAATTTGTTTATTATTTTCAAAAACAATATCTCCCAATGACAAATTTTCATTATATTCTTTCTTTACTTTTTCTCTCTCAACAAAATCATAATGAATTTAACTTGTAACCCGGCTATTTTCTTATCTATTTTTATTTTTAAATAAAAAAATATTTTTAATTGTAACAAAAAATAAACTATTTTACTAGTAAGATTTTCTTGCATTAACAAGATTTATTATTCTGCATGTTTGGCGTAGTATTTTTATCCATATTCTGAATCCTATTCTCCAAATAATATTTGGCACATTATTCCATAAATATTATCCTATTTTTTAATTACTTTTAGACCCCATAAAGTTATTAATTTCACTAAATACCCCCTAAAAAAAGTTTAAAAAATAACAAAAACACTCCCATCAACCCAACTTGTCAGATTCCAGCAACCACCGTCGGTGATAGCTAGAATCTGTACAACAGCCTAACTTCCTACCAGAAATGGCTGGAATTTCACCGATGTGGCCTTTTCCGGCCAGATCCACCACGGATCTAGCCATCAGCGACGGTCAAAGAAATGGCTGTCGTTGACAGAAAACGACGGCCAAATCTTGGCCGTCGTTGACAGAAAACGACGGCCAAATCTTGGCCGTCGTTGAACGAAAACGACGACCACATCTTTGGCCATCGTTTGACCTTTTCCGGCCATTAACGGCCATAACAGACCGTAGATCTGGTGGATCTGGTCAGAAAAGGCCATAACGACGTGTTACGGCACAGATCCGATCGGTCTGTGTCGTAACGAAATTTTTCGGCCAGATTCTGACGGTGGTGGCCGGAATCTGGCACTGCAGGTGATGGGGGTGTTTTTGTCATTTTATATGTTAGGGTTTTTAATTAAATTAGTAAACCTAAGAGCTTTTTCATAAATTTTTAAAATTTACCTCGTAATACTCTCCTATCCAATAACTCAATACTATCTCCAAAATACTAACATCATAATACATTATTATATACATATATTTATAGTTGATGATGATGTGATGTGCGCATAAACGTGGGTATATAAAAAGCCTAGTCCTAGAGGAATCGTGTACACTGAAATCATATAGGAAAGCAGTGAAACACGACTTTTCTAATCAAACATGCTTGTAGTCAATTTGACTTTCAGCATCCATTTATTACCATTACAACATCACTGACGCAACCCACCATGTCTGAATCTAAATTAACCTCAAACACTCCAATTTTTTTTTTTGAAGGAAAAAAAAAACCACCTACCAATAAAAATATTTAATAATTATTGATTGAATAAAAAGAAAAGCGGGTAGGGGCCAAGCCCTTGGGATGGAAGATGTTAAGTCAT